CAGCGGCCCCCCGGGGGGGGGGGGGGGGGGCCTGCCTGTGCGGGGCAGGCTTGCTCTCCGTTACCTGAACTTTAAGTTCGAGTTCTCGGATCTGGTCTTCTTTCACCTTCATGTCCATTGTGAGCTTCTTGCCCTCTGCTTCTAGTTCTCTGATCCGATTCCGTAAGGTTTCGGTACACTCGCCCCTTGTGAAAAAGATTAGGAAAGAAAGGGATTTGGAAGTAAGCAAATGGTACTTACAGTGCAGGGCTGGTAACTCTTACATGAAACGCCTGGCCCGGTTTTGGCTTTTGGCTCAGTATGCTCATGCTAATGACTGCTTGAGAATTTCAGCAACGGCCGACAGTAGCCAAGGCAGTGTCTGCATTAGCCAGGTACTAAGCTAGCTACTTCAGCCAGACGCCCTCTTCAATGTAACAATCTAAAGAGCCATTTTCCAGATGAAAAAAACTGAAGCTACACAGGTTGCCCAGCTTGTAGGTCACACAAACCGGGATACGAACTGAGGCTTCCTAGTTTCCCAGTCCAACACCCTCACCACCTGGGCATGGCGAGACAAGGTGCACCACACCAAGCAGGACGGACGTGGATGTGCAGTCTCCAGCAGGGGGCAGTGGACTAGGAACATAACCACAACTTTTCCTCCCCACTTTGGAGCAGCTCTGCATTGGAAATTGGAACACCCTTTGATAACGAAGTTGCTGGAACCTAGAGTAGACAGGAAAAGAGGGAGCAGCATTAGGCTGCTTCTCAGGGGTAGGGTAAGGGACTAGCTGAAAGATTTGATGGCAATAGCCTGGGTAGGGCTGCTAAACTACTGGGCTCCAGAAACAGCCTGAGGAAGGAAGTAGGTGTCCTGTGCCTACCAAAAAAGAAGATCCGATAGAGAACGACACCCTGAGATTTACGTAAGGAAGAACACAGGTCTATGGCCCAGCTTCGGTAGTGTGTGTGCAGGCGGACACTGACACTGGGAAGGCTAGGCCTCGTGAAACACCCAGGTTAAATTCCTGGCCCACCACAGAAGGCCAGGGGCAGTGGGGTGTCCCTGTAGTCCAGCTACTTGAGGGGCTGAGGCAGGAAGAAAATCTGCTGGTCTAAGTGCTTCCAAAATGCTTACAATTTTTAAACAAACACCTGTATCCTACGTCCGCCATCGGCGGCCTAGTTGAGAGTCTTCTTAATCTCCCTAGATGCTGTACTGACGGGCCGGCGAGCTCAGCCACCTGCGCCCGGAATCTGCTGGGGAAGGCAGGACGGCACAGGAGGAGTTCCTGCTCACTGGTATTTCCCAAAAGGAGAAATGATAATTCACCAATTATTCTACGAGGGCCAGAACCCCAGAGAAGGCTATTAATATGCTAAATATTGGCAAGTATATTACTTGTTTAATGTAACAAAGCAAAACTCAAAGAGGACTTACAGTTGAATTATATCACGCAGACACGAGTTAGGACGGAAACTAAAAGTGAGACAAATAATTTCCTATTGCTCTGCATCTGCAAACCCATAACTGACTCCCACACCATGCAGATGGACTTCACTAGTCAAAAACAAACAAACAAACAAAACAAAACAAAACAAAAAAAACACAACAACAACAAAGAAAATGAAAAAGTGGTATTTTAAAAAGGTTCTTAACTATTGAAATCCAGAGGGTAGTTACATACCAGTTTTTGGAATGCCTATATAGAGGGTTATCTTTTTGTTCAAGTTTTGCTATAGGGCACATGCACTTGCCAGAGAGGGAGTGCACACACGCACTCCCCAGGGGAGATGGCCACACTGCAATCCCTTCTCCTCCACTTTCCTCTTGGGATTTTGGACATGCGCACATGCGTGCCCAGGAGGTTTCTCAAGCCACCAGGTCTGGGACTCAAACTGTGCAGTTGGCCGTGTGGGATCTAGGGCCTTAACCACCACACCACCTGGCTGGCCTGAGAGATACTTTTCGATGACATAGAAAGTAGTGTCCAGTTTCGATCTCTCCAAAATACAATCTGTCATACTAGATTTTTATGTTCATTTATTTTTTCCATCTCATTTGACAGTTTGCTGATGGCCAATGAAGACATGAGTAGTCAGTGTACAGTGCTGGGCTGGCAAGAGTCTACCTTTCTTCCCTCTTGTTTCTACCAGTGTACAGTGCCGGGCGAGCAAGAGTCTACCTTTCTTCCCTCTTGTTTCTTTTCTTTCCTTTTCTTCCTTCTCTTTCTTTCATTTTTTGTGACAGGGTCTCACCAGGTTGCTCAGGCTGGCCTCGAACTCAGCAACTCCTGCCTAAGTCTCTCCTGAACAGCTGGGGTTACAGGCACAAGCCACCATGCTAGGCCCCTTTCTTCTATTTTAAAATGAAGAAGTCCACAAACACACACACCTTGGAGTGGAGAGCAATGAAATTCCAGATGGAGTCTCTCAAAGCATTCTGTAATCCTCGGTCTCACAGAAAGAGACTAGAACCCTTTGTATGAGCAGTACGTTGCTCCCCGGGATGGAGGCATGGTGCCCCCCACCCCACTGTACAGGTGAGGTCACTGGGTCAGGTAAGGTGCGGTAAGCCAGGGCAAGTGTGTACAGTTTAAAGCAGCTAACAAAGCGGTACTTACAAGCAATCCACGCGTACATGGCTGTCAGGTCTGACCCTCCCCGGGGCAGCGATCCCCGCGTGTGCCCTGGTACAGGACAGCCCACCTTGGATAAAAGAAGCACGTGGCATGGACATACCTAGACGCAGCAGCAAATGCAACAGCCCGGGCAGCCGTGGCTTCTTCTAATTTCTTCCTTTTTTTCTCTTCCATTAACTGCTTTTCTACAAAACTTCGGGCTTCCTGTTCAGCTTTCAGTTTTTTCTCCAGCTGGCTGATGCTCTGCTTGTCTTTCTGCTTCATCTGCACAGCGTTATGTAACCTATAAGGGAGCGATGGCCAGAGTCTCACAGTTAGCAACGCCCGGGACAAGCGCGGAAAACGTGGCTTTCTCCCACCATTTGAAGGCCAAGTAAGCAGGAGGTCTGGACAGCAGACCCTAAGTGACAACTCCCAGAGTGCCCGGCCGAAATGTACTGCTTTATCTAACGATTTTTAAACACCACTAAACAAGCTGCCTTACGAGACACAGAGTCAGACCTCGTCTCTGCTCTATGGAGGTAGGGGCCAACAGAAAGTAGTAGAAAAACAAAAAAGGAAAAAACAGGTTTCCAACACGGGAGAAGACAACTGCAGAACTAATCCTAGTGCCCAGGGTGCCCTGAAAGAACCTCAGCCTGACCGAAGGAACCTTGATGGGACCAGCCCCGCTGAAAATGAGATGGGGGCTTCTGTCCCTGAATACAGTCACGCTGGGGCCAGGCCGCAAGCTTTCCTTCCCATCTGTGCGACGCGTTCTCTGAGGGCCCTCCAGTCCATCTCCTGGCCACAGGCCACTTAACCTCAGAGGTCACGTTCTGCCACGTCCCTTCCTGCCTACTACCACCCAGTTTCTCATACCAACTGACGTGAGCTTACCACTGGGCGTCCTGTGTGTCACTGTTTGGAGCCCCACGAATGTTGGTCAAAAGCAACAGAGAGGCTATTGGCCTGCACGCTCTGGCTTTTAAATTGCATACCTTAAAATGTTGGCCTCCCATTTCACCAAGGAAAGCCCAGAAAGTTGAACAAAGACACACATTTCTTAGAAATTTTTAAAAAGGTGGTGGGGGGAGACCCATGTTGAGTCAAGCAGTAATTTCACAATGAATTAACATTGAGCTTAAAAGAACTTGCACAGGGGCCAGCAGGTGGCATGGTGGTTAAGGTGCTGGACTTGCACATGGCTGACCACGGTTCAAGTTCTGGATCTGGCGGCTTGCTTTCTCACTTTCCTCTCACTCTGTCCCTCTCTGATCAAATTAAAACAAATAAATAAACTTAAATAAGATAATTCTTTAAAAAAAAAAAAAAAAGATCTCACACAGAAGACCTGGCTTACTGCCTGCCTCTTCACATAAAACCAAAGTTCAGCGTCACTTCTTTTAGTTCTGAACTAAAGTGAATATGGTCTAGTCCTCTGAAAATCTTCAGGCAAAGGAGCAAGATTTTCAAGTTGTGGCAGAACTACGTCTTGTCAATTTCATTTATATGAGGAGACATCAAAAGGTCCATGGAAAATGGAACTGAAGTACATGTTTGTTTTGGTGGGAGAAAGTTCACAAGCTATGTACCATTTTTTCACAATAGCCATTTTCCATGAAGATTTTGAAGACCCCTCATGTTATCACAAAAACTTCAACTATTTTAAACTGCGAGAAGTTATTAAATGAGAGGAGACAAAATAGTTACATTAACAAACAGTTTTGTTGCAAGTTAATATTTTCCTAGAGTTTATAAAGATGTTGACTATCTGGTACTAATGAACTATTTTCAACATTTTATTTAAAACCCTCTTGGTGGGGTCCCTGGGCCACCCCTGAAAACGAGGAGCCCGAGGCCCCGGCGGGCGGCGGAAGGCCGTGAGGTGCACGTACTTGTTCTGCAGCAGCTCGTTCTCCTGCCGGAGCTGGCCCATCTCTGAGCGGATGCCTCGCTCGGTGCTCGAGAGGGAGCTGATCTGGCTGCGGAGCTCTTGTTCCACTTGCCTGCTGGCCTGCAGGTCGGCCTTCAACTTTTTAATGTCCTGTTCCAGCCTAGGAGGAGAAACGGGGCATTTTCACCTGGGAGAAGGTAGCCACAGGGGTCTGTGAGACCCTAGGTGAGGTCCCGACTGCTGGGCGGGCGGCAGAGGAGCCCACTGGCAGATCCTGCCGGCATAAGGATGCCTGTGACTGGCTTAATTCTGTGTCCCCAGCCCCCTCTCCCCCTAGGGGCAACTTCAGCCTCCCGCAGACACCTGTGAGCCCTGCAGGAAAGCGTGGTGCCTCTGAGCACTCACACTGCTAATCAAGGGGTGGGGGAGGCAGAGAGAAGCTGAATGTTCAGGCCCTCCCGACTGGCGACTGCTCCAGGCCACACTGCAAGGGAAGTGTGTTAGAAGAACCAGCTCATGACCCACACTTACTGCTTTGAGATATTCTGATGGGTCAGAATTTACTGTCTGAGATTCCTTCCCACCACGTGCCTAGAAGAAAACAGTGTCTATGACAGCCTTTTGAAACTGTGAGCCTCTGTGCTAAAGGGCGTTTACACTGGCAGAAAAGCCCATTAGACTAAACAAGAATGCAGAAAGGAACAAAGCCCCTGCTCTGAGGATCACAAAGTAACCATCTGTGAACTGAAGCCCCCTTCCGCTCTGTTCAGTCTACGTTCTTCAGTACAATGGGTTCATTTAGGATGATGCTTACTGGGGACCTGTATATATGCACGTGAGCTACTGAAGAGGACCAACAAAGGGGTCCCCGCTCCATGACGGGACTTCACAACTTTACTAGGGCTAAGAAATAGGGCATTCGAACGACTACACAGCACAGCAAGGACGGCTATGGTAAAGCACGTGCTATGAGGAGCATCGACAGCAGCTGCGGTTCATGGCCACTTCTGTGTCAGCACTATCCTGTAGGCTTGATGGCACGAACACGTCGGATCGCACAGGTACAGGCCAAGTGCAGTAATTCTTCCCACTTTACAGACCACAAACTCCAGGCCAGGGAAGGTTGCAGCCCTGGGTCACCCAGACAGCTCGGCTCGCAGCTGCTCTCTTCGTCCTAGGCCATGCTCTGGCCACCGCATCCACAGCATGGTATGAGCAGTAGTGCTACAGCAGTTCAAAGACTGGGAGAGGCCTTGCTGAGAAGATGGGAATCAGGTTGGACTCTGAAGGTTGGGCAGGATTTGGAAACACAGAAAAGGAAGACAGGACGTTCTAAATGAGGGAGAAATATACTCAAAAACTCAAAGGCAGGCAGCAGGTGGTGTGGAGGTTAAGGTGGTTGGAGCCCACATGGTCGACTGCATGAATTGAGCTCCAGATCCAGCAGCTTGAAAAACACACCTGGACCATGTGTGCATGTGCGCCCGAAGTCCCAAGGAGGATGGAGAAGAGACTGCAGTGTGGCTATACCCTCTGTGGGGGATCTTTCCCTCTCTCTCTCTGAGTGTCTCCAGTGAGCGCATTCGCCCTATAACAAAAATTAAAAACAACCCTCAAAGGTAAGAAGAGCCATAAAGTGTTGAGGGCAGGCCACCAGTTCAGCCCAAGGCAGGCTGGCACCGTGACAGAGCGGGAAAGGACAGGGCGGGTCTGCAGATGGGACTGTGAACAGTGGCACTGAAGGTTGGCCAAGGAGGGCTACCACAGGAGCCTCGGGAGCACCTTCTCCATCGGGATTCGAACCCCTAGGGAGGGGAAGTCAGCGTGCTCCGCTGACCCTTGTACAGGTTACACAACCCGCACACCCACAGAGCCGATTCCTGGGCGGCACTAGCAGCCTCCCCTTGGGACTGTCAGCACAGACGCTGGCCCTTATGGGCATGTTTCATTAAGCACAACTTCTCCGGCCTCCCACTGTGGTTAAGCCTGGCTCACGCAGTGTGTGTGGCCTGACTTCCCTTAGAAAACAAAGACCAGCTTTATTTACTTTTCCACCATTAGGCAACTTTAAAAAGAACCCCCCAAAACATAGCACCTTGCAGGTGCAGTGGCCAGTCCTCCTGCCCAGCGCCAGTGGGGCAGGGCATGGCCTAGAAACTGCTCCAGAAGCGCCGATGTCTCCTGGCACAGCTCACTCCCCAGAGAAGGGTCACGAGCTGACGCCGCGCCACACTGTCCCTACTGCCAGGGTTCCTGCGGTTGAACGTCCCGCTGGAGCTGCCCTGCACGGCCATAGACGGGCATTTACATCATCGCCACACTGTCGTCCACCCCCAAGTAACCCAAGGAGCATATTCCAAAACTGGCCGATGTTGTCAGGCTAGCCCCAGTATGAAGTTTGGCTAGAAAATGTGTTAGGTAGTTCATCTTTCTAGAGAAGTCCATTTCACAGTCTGAGGACTACATTTTTAGTAGAAAGGGTGAGATTTTCGATGAGAATAGGGACTTGGCATAATTTAGTGCCAGGGTCAGGTTCTAGACTCCGCTCTGGAGTCGACCCCATAACCTTCCAGGCCTCTATTCCCTCATCTGAGGCCGGCGAGCTCTAAAGTGCCTCCGAGTGTGGCCTAGGGTTCCTCCACCTGACACACTTACAGAAGGCAGCGATCGCTTCTTCAGATTAGCAGAGGAAGCTGCGGCGTGTGCAGACGCACCGGGATCAAGTTCCACACACCCAGCTACTGGGGCAGGACAGGTGCCGCAGCTGGGGACGGAAGACAAGTGCAATCTGCAGAGGCTAGATGCCAATCACGCTGAAATTACTTTCTTTCATTTCTAATCTTTAAAAGCCAATTTTCAAACTAAGAACAACAATATTTATTCCAAGTGAAATTTTAGAGTTCCATGAAAGACGTGAAAATCCAAAGAGCTAACGCAGTTCTGAGACCAATGAGTACAAAAATCTAGAGTGTACCTTCTGGGCACCATGGAACACTGAACGGCATTACATAGGTATTTTCATGTGGAACTTCTATGAAAATTTTGTCAAAGATAAATAGAAGCACAATATAACAAAAATAAAACGAAATGGTTACAAGAGCATGTTTGCTTTGTGAAAATGTATAAACCATACACAAGATTTGTGTAGTGCTGTGTATGTGTGTTAGATTTCAATTTAAAAAAAAGGTTTATGTAAAAAATTCTCTGTCCATCTCTCTACAGCAAGTGTATGTGACCTGTTGCAAAAATTTATATGTAAACTCATACATACACACATGCACGTGTGTGCACGCGTACACACACACCTCACAAGGCACTGAATTAAAATGCTTTTGGAGTTTCATAAGTGCTACCATTAATTTTATAAAATTCTGAATTACTGGTTGCCAAACTATTGCAAAAAACATGTGAGTATGTGTGTGCGTGCCCAAAATCCCAAGAGGAGAATGAAGGAGAAGGAACTGTGGCGTGGCCACCTCCCGGGAGTGATGTCTCACTTTCCCTCTCACTTTCTCTCTGTCTCTCCAAGGAGGGCACACACTCTAGACCAAAAATGTCTCTTAAAACAAACAGACAAACCAACCAACCCTGTGAGTTAAAGCCAGCATTCCCAGCTTAAGGGACCTATAGGAACACTGCCTTAATGTGTGCGGTAATGTAAAGGGCTAAATGGCAAATTCTTGGTAAGTTTAAAAGCATATCCTGGGCAATTACTGCCTTTCCACAGAAAGCGTTCATTTAACCTTGGAGATCCACTGCATATTTTAAATCTTTACCATGGTAGGCAAAAAGATGATCTACAACCCCCTATTCAATTTATTTTTTAATGCAAAACGTTAGTAGCAAAAACTGAGTACGGATGCCAGGTGGTGATGCTGCAGTGACACAGCTGGCCCCAAGGGGAAGTTCCTGGGTTCGTGCCCTGGGACCTCCCTGTGCACACTGGGCATGAGTGTGTGCCAGTGAATGTGTGGCTGGGGCTGGGGTGGGTCATGGGGTGGGACCCAGCTGGAGGTGCCTGTCTGTCTCTTCCTCTCTGTGTCTCCCTCTCTCATGCAGGAGAGAGAGAAATAGATTTAAAAAAGAAAGAAAGAAAGAAAGAAAGAAAGAAAGAAAGAAAGAAAGAAAGGCACTGAACACAAGAGAAAAAGAAGGAAAATATAAAGAAATCAGTATCCTCTCATCTAGCCAGAACTGACCACTATTAGCATTGGCGTACTTCTTTTCTGTATGTCTTCTTTACTGTTTCTTCACACATGTAAATGTGTAAGTGTATTTATTTAAGACAGGTCAGAGAATGCCGCATATACAGCCTACACATGGTAAGTACCTACTTATGCTATTAGAACATTTTTGTGAACAATTACTATATACTATTCCATTGTTGGAGCCAGTGGGTGGTGTGGTGG